CCCGGGGTCCTCGGACGCTCGGGGCAGCCGGAGCGGCGAGGGCCGAGCCTGACCCGCGCGTCTGCTTCTCTTGCAGCGTACCCGCACTACTTCTACCGGTGACCGCGGCGCCCCGACTGGCCAGGCGACGCTTTAGGAGTCAGGGTGGACTCTGCTCTGTGAATACTTGTTATATGGACCCTGAGATATTTTATTACAGAGTTTTTAACTAGCGAAAAATTCATGAATACCATAGAGAAAATATTTTAGAATTTAATGTTTCTTATATTTATGTAAACTTATGACTTCATTTATACAGCTCCTTACTTTTTCATGTATATCCAGGCTATAAATATCCTTTCAAATCGATTCATGTTCTTATAATCTAATTTTAGTCTTTCAGATGAATGTACTGTAACGCTTGTATGTGTGAATTCTATGAACGAACGCAGGGCTTTTGTAAATCGTGCGTCACTGTAATCACCGATGTCTGACCCGAGGGCGCCCAGCCCGCCGCTCCCCGGGCCGAGAGGGGCTCAGACTCCGTGTCCAGAGTCACTGCTGTGTTTTAATGACTGGCCTTCCCTGTCCTTTTTCTAGCAAAAAAAGCTTTACGCCCCAGCGTGCACAGAAGAGACACACCTGGTGTTCAGGAGTGGCGCCTCCTGGGCAGTGCGGACGCTGGCTGGCCGGGGCCCGGGGCCGCCCTCCTGGAAGCAGGCCCGGGGCGCCCTGCTGCAGAGGACCAATGGGGCTGCCCCGGGGCGCCAGGCGGGCGTCGCGGCTCACCCTGGCAGGGCCTTCTCCTTACTTAACTCATGTTTTTACACTTGTTGCGAACGCGTTGAAGGAACGGACCTGTTCAACAATTTTTAGAGTCTGACGATATGGCCACTTGGATTGTATCCGTAGAATCTGTGACTTTTACTTTTTAAATGGCAGATTAAAAAGCCAGCGAGGAGCGTGTCCAGACCACGGTGCGTTACTTATCGTGCAGCTGACCCGCAGCTGGGTAGAGGTTTCTGCTCTGAACTTACCTGTACAATTTGTTGTTACCGTTCTGTCTTTCTATGAATCTTTGTGGACTTCCAGATTATGTAACAAAGTATGTACAGTCTACTTTTGAACTATTTTTATCACAGTATTATTTATTGCTTTCTCTCAATAAAGTACTGAAGCGTTTTCCACTGCCAATAAAGCACCTGAGAACAAGCCGTAGACGACCGCGGCCTTTTCCCTCCTGTCCCGCCTGACCGCTGCAGGCGCCGTCCTGTGCAGACAGGGCCGCGAGGACCTGGTGTCATCCAGAGAAAGGCCGGTCTCTGCTCGCGCTGCTGGGAGCCCAGCGCCTGGGTCGCGGCCTCGAGGGTGGAGGGCCAGCCCTCGCCTGCAGGCCGC